TCTGGTGCTACTGAAATCAAGAGTAGTTTATCATCTAAGTAGGGTTTCAGATACTCCTATAATGACCGGTAGGTTCAATTGTCAACGATGTGAAGACGATGACTTCAATTTAGAATACGGTAAATCAATGATCATTAAAGCTTGAATAAATTTGTTATTCACTCTTTAACACATAGATTTTGTTGAAAAAAAATTCATGAATTGGACGTATACAAAATAGTTCTTGCATGCAATCTATGATTATTTTATACAAATTTTTTGTTTTATATGCATGCGATCCCCATATTTTGTTTTGTTTTGTTTTGTATGCATGTGGTCACACTTTTGATAATGGAGTGGTACCCATTATGTTTTGCAGAGTTAGATTCTAAGTATTTTACACTGAAAATGCATCATGATGGGAAGTTTCGAGACAACCCACATAAGGAATATGTTGGAGGTAGGGTCGACGTCTTCCAGCATAGACATCCAGACTTAATGCCTTTACTGGAACTTGATGAGATGGCGAGGGGGTTAGGATATGATGAAGAGATTCTCAGGTACCATTATTTGATACCAGGTAAGAATTTAGATAATGGTTTGATTTTACTGTATACTGATAATCAAGTCTTCACAGCGTTTAATTCATTATATCTCAACACAGTTGCTAATGTATACATTGAACATAGATCACTGTTTGATGTATTTGATGAGGGGGGTAAGCAATGATGTAGATACTGGGATTAGACATTCTATTATTATTAAGGAGATCGATGATGAAGATTTAAATGGTTTAGAGGAAAGTCAAGTAACTACTATATGTAGTACATGAAATAATAAGCAACCATATTTGCTGGATTGAAAGAGCCGGTGTAACAGTTGGGGATGACATAGAGAAGGAAAGAGCTGGGTTGAAAAAAATAGTGCAACAGTTGGGAGGAATGACATAGAGAATGAGAGAGCTGGGTTGAGAGAAACAGTGCAACAATTGATGGTGACATAGAGAATGAAAGAGTTGGGGCTGAGACAGACAATAAAACTTCTGATGGAAAAGATTTTCATGATAGTGAATATGATGTAAAAGAAGATGAGAAAATGTTTGAGACTTATGTTGGCATGGATGCTGAATGGGTAGATGTGACTAACATTAGAAAGGGTGTGGAAAAGGAGAAATCAGCAGACCATGGTGATGCTGAGAATGATGGGGTTGAGTTTGATTATGGACCATCAAATGAACTGTTAAGCATAGATGGTTCCTCATCAGATGAAGATAACAATAAAAGGAGAATGTCAAAATACCCTGAGTTTAGGGCTGAGATTGATATGAAGAATCCAACATTCAAGTTGGGGATGCTTTTTGGATCACCTGTTGAATTCAAAGAAGCAGTAAAGAAATATTCAATTAGGGAGGGAAAACAAATAATCTTGAAGAAAAATGATCATGTGAGGGTTAGAGCAGTGTGCAAGAGAAAGTGCAAGTGGATGATTTTTGCATCTGTTATGGATGACAACAAAACATTCCAAGTCGAAAAATTCAACGGTAAACATACATTTGGCAGGTTATTTAAGAACTCAATGGCAAATTCTAATTGGCTGGCCAAAAATTACCTGGATGACTTTAGAGGCAAATTCTAATTGGCTGGCCAAAAATTACCTGGATGACTTTAGAGCGAATCTCAATTGGCCTGTTGAGGCAGTTATTGAAAGGGTAATGAAGGATCATCAATTGAGTTTTTCTAGGGATCAATGTTACAGGGCAAGAAAAAAAGTTGCGTGAATTGTTGAAAGTAGCCATGTAAAACAGTATGCTAAATTGTGGGATTACTGTGATGAATTGAAGAGGACTAACCCTAATAGTACTATAATAATGAAAATGGATGATGCGCTTGAGATGGAATGTGAACCTAGGTTTGAGAGATTGTACATATGTTTAGATGCATTGACGAGGGGATTTAAGGAAGCATGCAGACATGTGGTGTACTTGGATGGATGTCATCTGAAAGGTATACATAATGGATAGGTACTCTCACCAATTGGTGTAGATGCTAAGAATAACGTGTACCCAGTTGCCTATGTTGTGGTTGAGATGGAGGGCACAACCACATGGACATGGTTTCTAAACATTCTAGTAGAAGATCTGGGAATATCCAATACACATGGTTGAACTATAATGTATGACAAACAAAAGGTATGTTAGTTAAATATTATTTTGTCAAACATGTTTGTTTTACAATTGTTATAACATAACTAATTGAGTTTTGTGTTTCTATAGGGGACTGGAGCATGCCATTCAGGAGTTGCTTCCTGATGTTGAACATATACACTGTGTTAGGCATCTGCACAACAATTTCAAGATTAAACACAAGGGAAAAACACTAAAGGACATTATTTGGACTTTTGCAAGATCAAATTATGTTAACCAATTTCATGAGAAAATGAAGATTCATATGCATTTGTCTGGTTTGAACATAAACATCCAAGGAACTGGTCTAGGTTACACTTCAACACATTATGTAAGTGTGACATACTTTTGAATAACATGGCGGAATATTTCAATTCCTATATACTTGGGGCAAGAGACAAACCCATTATATCAATGTTGGAGAGGATAAGACACCTACTGATGAGGAGGTTGTTTGCAAATAGAGATATAATGAAAAAATGGGAGGGTAAGATATGCCCTAAAATCCAGGAAATTTTAGAGAAGAATAAGAAAAAAGCTTCTTTTTGCATTGCTTATTGGTATGGAGGATCACAGTTTGAGGTAAAGCACTATTATGGAGATCAGTTTTGTTATGGATATGAATGAACACACTTGTGCTTGTAGAAGATGGGATTTGACTGGCATCCTTTGTTCACATGCAATCAAGGCATTTGTCTACAAAGGAGATGAGCTTGAGGATTTTGTGGATGATTGGTATACGAAAGACACATACCTGAAGGCTTATGAAAATATTATTCATCCAATAAATAGGTCAAATCTATGGGTTAAGTCAAGCGAAGTTCCTCCTCTACCACCAATTCACTATAAAGCAGCCAGACATGTCAAAGAAACTGAGAAGAAGAGAACTAGATGACGCCGCAAAACACAATCCAAATCCCACAAAACTGAGAAAAGTCCAGATTTCATTGAAGTGTGGCAAATGTGGTGAAAAGGGACACAACAAAAGAAGTTGTATGACAAGTTTTGGGTCTACTACTGCTCTAACCTTTGGGTCTACTACTGCTATAACTTATGTGTTTGCTACTGCTCAAACTTGTGGGACTGATACTGTAAATACAAGTGTTAGAGTTAGAAAAGGTGTTCAGTCACATAGGAGAGAGAAGTTACAGGTCAAAAGAAATGTTATCCCATCAACATCATCACAATAGCTTAAACCACCTCGTTCTACTCCAAATCTAGCACCATTTTTATGGAAAGGTCAGACCTGCTCGACCCTTGCATCACTTCAATCATTAGCAAACAAGGGGAATAATGAAGGGAATTCAGATAATGGTGGTGTTCCAGATAAGGGGAAAGGGGTATAATACAAATAATGATGTAGTTGTTCCAGCAATTGTTTTTGCAGACAATGTAATAAAATTGGGTAGCTTGAATATTGTCAATGAACCACTCTTTTGTTTATGTACACATATTATGCCTCTTGTATTATTCTATTTTACATAGTACATTCCATCAAACAAATAAGTAGGTCTTTGGAAAAAAAGATTAGAGAACTTCATTCATAAGTAAATGACACAAATGTCTTTTCTTTCTTACATAATCAACACACCCCTTCTGCACATCTAAACAAACCCTTTTGGACTAAACAAAACACCACATTACATTAAACAATACACCATTCTGGACTAACCAAACAACACATGCCATTCTTAATTTCCTAATTCATAACTAGGTGTAGGATTACTCTCTTTCTTCATGTTCACGCCTGAGTTCTTCTAATTCATCAACACAATCAACCATGTTAGAACCAACAAGATCCCCAACAACTTCTCTCTATGTCGAATTCTTGTCAATTGTGCTTCTAGTCTTTTGATTCTCACCAGCAAGCTAGGAATGATATTTTTCGATCGGTTACACATGGGAGGGTTGTACCATTCAAAATACCCACATCTTTCACTTTGCTGCATACAACAGACAACAAATAATATTGCTCAACCTTTGAAAAAATTAAGTAGTTCAAAACAACCCAAACTGACAGTTACCGCATCATTCTCGCAGTGAATGAATCTCTTACCGGTATTTTGATCTATCCACGAAGTAAAAATCCTTGTCCTTCTCCCACAATAGTAAGACATACGTTCCATTTTCTTCTTGCTTCATCTAGCTTCTCCCTTGCTCTTCGTCTTCGTCGTCCTCTGCCTGGCTTATGGTTGAATGATTCAACTGTAAGCTAGGGCAACATAGCTGAAGCGGTTAAATGGGTGGGAAGGAGCATTAAATAACTATATTGCCTTTCTTGTTCCATCACATGTCGCTCATGTGCCACTTTTTGGCATAATTTTAGACGGCCATTAGGGGTAAGGACGACAGTCAACTGATGTTACAACATGGAGGACGAAATTATCAAAATTAGAATATTAAAGATAAAAGTGCAATAAGTACCAAACTTAAGGGACCAACGGTGCCATTTACTTGATAAATATAACACTCATTTTTTATTTTATTTTTCCCTACGAAGTGAAGCCGAAAAAATATACCTAAAACTTCACCAAAACACAACAACGACGTAATCAGACAGTCTCTCCCACGCGCGCTCTCTCTCTCTCTCTCTCTCTCTCTCTCCCCGGCGACCTCACCGAGTCATCACCGTACCAACTTATCCCCTACTCCCTACACATGCAACTCACGCGCCTGTCGCCAACCGGCGCATCCTCGCCGCTCATCTTTATCATCAACCCAACCCCTTCACCGACGCAACGTCTTCTTCTCTCTCTTACCCTTTCAAATCACCTCTCAACCATCACACCCTCCAAAACCACCCTAATCCACCACCAGATTCGCCTCCACAGCTTACCCAATGGGTGACTCAACCGAATCCCCAATTCCCCAGACGGCGCCGTCAAGGCCGTTGCCCTTCCGTGAGGATTGCTGGTCGGAGGAGGCCACATCGACCCTTGTCGACGCTTGGGGACGGCGGTATTTGGAGCTTAACCGGGGAAATCTCCGGCAGAAAGACTGGCAAGAAGTTGCCGACGCTGTGAACGATCTTCATGGTCACACGAAGAAAACTCGGCGTAGCGATGTTCAGTGTAAGAATCGGATCGATACCCTGAAGAAAAAGTACAAGATCGAGAAGGCCAAGGTTGTAGAATCGAATGGGACTGTAGCGAGTTCTTGGCCGTTCTATTCGAGATTGGAGGTGTTAATTGGAGGATCATCTACTGGGTCAGTGAAGCAAAAGAATGTCACCCAGCAAAATAAACTTGTTTCTGTGAGTACTGCTTCACACTTACAGATGTTATTGCCATCACAAGCCCCGCCTATGGCTGTCCCTCTTTCGTATAAATCAATTGCACAGCCGGGGATGGGTGGGACACCGGTGGTGCTGCCACAGAAAAGGGCGGCACAGGCTGTGGATGATGGGTATTTTCGTAGGAATTATTCGGCCGTGGCAGCAGCCGCGGCGAAGGGGGTAGAGGAGGATGAGGATGAGGATGAAGTGGGGCGTGAGAGTGATGAAAGTGAAGAGGGAGGGGATGGGGACATGGAGGGTGGGATGAGGAAGTTGGCGAGGGCGATTGAGAGTTTTGGGGAGATGTATGAGAGGGTTGAGGGGATGAAACAGAAGCAGATGGTGGAGTTAGAGAAGCAGAGGATGCAGTTTGCTAAGGATTTGGAGGTTCAGAGGATGCAGTTGTTTATGGATACTCAGGTTCAGCTGGAGAAGATCAAGCAGGCCAAGAGATCAGGCTCTTCAGATGGTGAGACATGGAGATCTCTTATTCTGTTTAACTATTTCGTTGATTTGTTTGGAGTTTTAATTGCTGATTTATAAGTATGTTTTAAAACTAGATTAGGCAAGAAAGTTCTGTTAAATCAACTTTGCAAATTTATTTTGATGTTAAAGGACCCGTTTTCTTGAATCAATGTACTTTTGTGGTTCTTTTAGATGGTAATTGCTGCTTTATATTGCAGTTTTCTGTGAATTTGAGAAAAATTGGTTTGTCGAGTATGGGATGGTGTTCATTTGATGACAAAGGTACCATTTTTTTAGCTTGGTAAGTTGTGCTGTTATATATTGCTTTGTGTTACATCATTTGGAGCTCGGAAAGTTTTGCTTGGTGGGGGGTTGTGAAGTTAGGGTTTTATTGATGTCATCAAAACTTTTGTATTGGTGTTTGACAATAATATGTAGCATTGTTTAGTTGACTGTGGTAATCATGATTGTAGCTTGTGAAGTGTCAACTTTAGATTATCTGATTGGTTCTTAATGTTCTGAAGCTATATGTGAAAAAAAAAAAAAAATAGATTGCTTCAATATGCTTGTTGCCGTAATCCTTTGGTGCTGCTTTTGTTGAGAAAAATTTAGCTGAACCGGTATTGGTATTTACACTGCCCATCGTCATCTGCATGGTGTTCTGGGTTTTGGATAGCATTAAGGTGAAAGAGCTTTTTAAAATTAGTTAATGTATTCAACTTTTGAGCTTGAACCTTACCATGCAAAAATGGATTTAACTGAGAAATTATCAATACATACAAAGCGCTTAAATTGTGCCCATCAGGTATTTGTTTGAGATACTTCTTGTGATAAAATTTATATAGAGAGAAATGGTTTTTGTTGTGGTGTGACTGTGCGACAAAATGTAGGTTTGTATGCAGACAAAGAGTTTGAGGTACTCTTTGTATTGGTTATACTAATGGTAAAGATGCATCTTCTAATACATTAACTGGATAAAGCCAGGATTATTTAGGTAGATATTAGTGTTGGTAGAATTTCAATTTTGGTATTTATTGGAAAGCTGAAAGGCATTCGCATGTTGGCAGTTATTTCTTCAGGTAAAACTCTCTTGTCCCTTGGAGTGGAATTGACTAATATTTGTTCGAACAGAGGTTTTTAAACATAAAACAGGGCTCATCTTTTCATAATGGTCATTTATGATTTCCTTTGAAAGTTTCATGTTTATTCTATTATTGTTGTGTTGTATGTTTGAATTACTTTTCTTTGATTATTGTGTTGTGTGTTTATGTTATATTTGCGTACCTATGTGGAACAATGGGTTTTAGGTGGAAATATGACTGGGGAACATGCATAAAGGCTTAGCAATAGAACTGAAGGCTTAGAATCAGGTTAAGCCTTAGAAGATGATAGTTGCAGTTTTTATAGAAAGATCACTTTGGAGATGTGAACTATTTATGTATCTCTGAAGAAACTGTATCTTAAGGATGGGATTAGAAATGAAAATGGAGATGGAGTTCAGAGGTTAGGAGTATTTGTTTGCAGAAACAGGAGGACGTTGCCAATGGCTTAAACAGCAAACTAGCTAGTGACTTAATGGATCATTTGATAATAATACATGGGAAAGATTTTTTCCTTTAGTATCTCAAACATAATACTTGATTAGGCTTTTCGGCTTGCTGCTCTGATAACTTGGCTCTGTAATTTGAACGAAAAATTTTGTATGAATGTTGGAAGTCGGGTATCTTCACTCTTTGCAGACTTAGGAGGTCTTTGCTTTAGGTTAGATAGTAAAGCAGTGCACATGTAGGACCAAAGCAAAATTCTTAATCCATTGCATCATTTTTCATCTATAGAGTCTGAACTTATGGCTGACAACTTTTCCAGGCTTTTCCACATATTTTCACTTCTTACTGTTAAGTGGTTTCCTTTAAGTATATAGCTATGCATGTGTGGTCAATAATGTTGTCCTCTCTCTTGGGACTGTGGCTGCGAATGATAAATTCTTCCCTATCTGGTGGTGTTGACTGATGCTGAATGATTGTTTGTATTTACCATGGCATAGCAACTTTTCTGGCCTTTTCCACGTATTTGGATTTTTGGCTCACTTTCTTTCAAGTGGTTTTTTATGAAGTATGGCTACAGTGTCAAGGGCCAGAATGCTATATTTTTTCGTTTGTCTTTTTTGGAATGATAGTTTCTAACCGTGCTTAGCATGGAAAGAGATCATCGGTTGTATTACTTATATGTTGCTGATAAGAAGGCTTCTTAAACGGTGCAAGTAGCTCAAGCTTGGTTCGGACTTCACTTGGTTTTGGTTATTCAGACTTCTTCAAATTATAAATGTACTTAATTTGGTAACATTTCTAAATTTTTTTTTTATAAACTAGCCAAAACCAAGCCACAAATGGTCTGAATTGACTCGAGTATGCTCGGCTCAATTAGGCGAGTAGGCTCTTTTGTGTACAAATAATTCTAATCTTATTGCCAAATAACCCTTATCCATAAGATGAACGATTCCAAACCAGATTAATTTTTAGGATTTGATTTTATGGTTGATTATATATATTTGGAAAGGGGGGGGGGGGGTTTTGCTGGGAAATTGATTATTTTAGGATTAATTATCAAGTTGTAGGATTTTTTTTTGAAATTTTTAAATGAGGAATTGAGTTTGCTTTTGGCTCAAGTTCTTGAGCTCTACTAGTCACAATAGAGTTGAATCTGAGCACATTCAGGCTCGGCTCAATTAACTCCTACTTAGACGACTTCCTCTAAGTCAGCATCAAAGCATAACTTTGAGCCAGATACATGGGCTTGAGCTGATGAAAGATATAAGGATGGACAGAGTAGTATTAAAAACTGATTCCTATGAAGCATGTAGACTGCTTCCTTATTCACCTGAATACATTCTTCTTACTAGAACAAGGATAGAGAATTACTAGAATCTGGTGAAGAAACAAACAGATCATGATACTCCACATACTCCAAGAAGGGATCCAATGTGCTTGTAGATTGGCCAACTTAGAAGAACAAAATTCTGAAGTTACCGTGGAACTGGTAGCCTTTTCTATGCACTGATATTGCCAACATAGCTTTTGCAAGAGGGTCTAAATGAACCCTAATCTATTTCCAATTTACCCGGAAAAAAAAAAAGAATTCCTAACCTGTATAGGTTACAACTATTTTCGTCTATATAATTGATGTATAAGCAGAGTAGAACAAGAGGCGACGAATCATGAAGATTATACAATAGCTGTTTTGTTAATATTGTTGCATTTTTACCGACTTTTTACTAAGACTTTATTTTCTAAAAGACGTTCTGTTTCTTTGTTTTACAGACCTTTATACCTAGCCATGTGGAAGAGGTGTTAATGATGATTCTATGTGGTACACATCTTTTGGAGTTTCATATTCCTGCGAAGTTTGTAAAGTTTCAGTTGCATTTGGGAGAAGAGACTGTGGTTACTGTAGGACTTTTTGGAATCAACAAAATATCAGCAGAAAAGTTTACCGTTTTGTAGGTGACAATATACATTACGGATGTTTTGCCTTCGCTTGTTCACATGTCATTGGGGGCGGTTCCACTTGTTAACTTCTCTAGATTATTGCCTATGATTGGCTCAATGTCCTTAATTTAACTTTTTATGTCCCCATCACATTGACAAATTAATTTTCTTGTTTGATATTTCTCAGAATAGATTAATGGAAGCTTGGGGCTGTTATGGATATCTAGTTTTAATGCCTGCATATTCTATTGTGTCAGCATATGATGCTTTATCACTGTTGATTTCCAACGACTCTGTGATGCAAAGTGTTTTTATATCCTTGTTTTAAAATTTTATGAACGTCATAGATGATTTGATTTGAAGCACTTTACCTCTGTTTCCATGCTGATGCCAATGTCAGAATGAAATTCGTTGTGTATCTTGTCCAGTAGAAAGAGTTTTAGGCCTTCACAATTCAGATGTGCAAATTGCAACCCCCTTCAACTTCATGCTGCTTTCCATCAAATAGATGTTCCATTAATTTCTATAAATACGTTGAAATAGACATATCACTTGCTATTTCTATTTTTCCTTTTTTTGAATACAAGCATATGGTGGGTTTCTTCAGTTTTTCCATTTTCCCTCTCTATGTGACATGGAGCTGCATTTGAAGGATTTTCAATGTAGTGTGTTGTAGGACTGTTAAGTCCAAAGACTTGTCATAGATTTGGTTCCAAACCTAACACGAAGACACTCTTACTGTCATGACTTACTTGAACTTTAGTTTGAATGGCACATTGCTGCGCCCACACTGCGTTTTGAATCCTCCCGAGCATGTTTCTGAAAATGAGGTTCAATTTGTAGTGTTACACATTATGAACATTGGTCTCGAATTGTTTCTAGGAAGGCTCAGAGCTGGTATCAAATGTACAAAAGAATGGTTTATTTTGTATTTTCTTCTTTGAAATCAGGGGTTTCTCCGTAAAATTTCTTTTTGCTACCTGCTTAGAATTTCTTGATGTAAGTTGAATGTTAGCACTGGTACAAAGTTAGATACAGGCTTTTTCCTGCCTATTCTCCCATTGTTTGGCCTTCCAATAGTTTAAGTCATTTCATTTTTGTTTTGTATTCAACCTCACAGGCTGGCCTCTTTTAGTTCTTTTGTTTACCTCGGGTGGAAGATCCACATTCCCTGAGTTATTAATAACAGTGATAGCATACAAGTGATTGTTGATGGAGGAGGTTTGTTTAGCTCAACATTCTATGGTTTTATTTGTTATATTTTTTTACTTTAACGGTCAAGGATATTTAAATCAGTTTACATGTACTTTGATTAAGCTTCCTCCGGTCCGATCAAGGGTAGATTATTTACGTCGGTATTGGATTCTCAACGTCGAGATTAGAATTATTCACGTTAGTCCGATCAAAGATAGATTATTCGTTTTTGTTACCACTTGCATTTGCATTATTCCTTGGGATTATTCTATTTGCTATTTGGGCACATCATTCTCAGCATATTTCTCTCACTTTGAGCACTTTGGATGGCCACCATGAGGCTGACTCTCTCCTTCCCTTTGTGTTGTTGAATCTCCCTACGAGTTGAAAAGGAATAAATAATTTACGGTTCTATTCCGATGGCAAAGTGCCATCAGTGATGGCATGAATGGACAACCCCACGTTCAAATCCCATGTACCAAATGCAGAATGTACGGTCATCATCGATAATGGAACCAAAAACTTCTTAGTGGAGGACCAAATTGATAAAAAAAATGTATTTAAATCGTACGTGAGTCATTAAAATTTAGATAATATTGTTGATAAAACTTAATAATTTGTGGGATAAATAATATTTAGACACCCTGACATTTGACTTTATTATGTAAACATCTCTTTATATTTTAAAAACTACACTGAGATCTGTTGACATTTCAAGGTGTGTAACGGTTACATGTCCGCTGTCTAATGGACATCAAATAAATAATGAGATAAAATGAAATCATCAACAGAATTTAATATAATACCCTAAATACCATTTTGTCATGTCAAAATCTCTATTAAACAAGCAAATAAATAAATATTAAAAAGACAATTATACACATTAGAATGAAGTTAATCTAAATAATTATTCGTGCAATTTAATTAGATAATTGCCTAAACGCCTTACATAATTTTCATGCAATATTAAATTTACTACACAATTTAATTAGTTGTGTAGTGTTATGCATCTATTTTAGAGTTAAATCCTCTAATTATTAATTAATTTTGATAATCAATTCTGATAAAGAATTAAATCCATAAATCTAACACCACTGCCACCGCCACCGTCACTCACCACTACGGTGGGTATCGAAAACCACCCAGAGACCAACCACTCTCCTTCTCAACGCCCTAATACCCATACCCCTAGCCAAACCTGCCACCACCCCCTCCCAAAGATCAAATTCCACAGCCAACCCTTTTTTCAAAACTTGTGGCTTCCCCTCAACCCTACCTACATTCACTCCATCTCCTCCCCCACGTAGTCTAACAACGTCACATCCCTTCTAACTTGTGCAACTCTATATGCAAAACCCATGAAGAAGAATGAATCAAACACCCACTCACCACCAACCCTAGATCTGAAAACTCCAAGTCTTTGATCATCAATCAATCCTCAACTCTGCTCAAGCAAGGAATTAGATTTGGGATATGATCCCAGATTTGTTGTGTGTAGGTGGTGATTCAATTTCATATCTACAATAAAAGCTAATATGTGTAGAATCGAATCCGCGGTGGGTTTCGAACTGGGAGAGGCGGTGGTATCAGTTGTAGGTGGGTCCCTTTGGTGTTGGAGGTGTTGCTTGTTGGATTCACTACTGCGTTTGGATTTTCGACGGCGTTGGTAATGGATATTGGTAAAAGTGGGGTCGTGGGGGCTTGGTGCTGCACCGTCAGGTGTTAGGGGGGTTCTCATATATAGAGAAAGAGAGAGTGAGTGAGAAAGAGAGACTTGGGTAATGGGTTTGATTTTTCTAATTTTTAATTAATTAAATGTTGGGTAAGTTAGTCTTTTTGTTATACCGTTAACGAGATCTATCTATTGGGGTCTAAGTGTAGTTTTTGAAATGTGAGGGAGTGTCCATGTAATAAAGCCAAATGCAAGGTTACATTTACCCTAATTTTTTAGACTGTCTGAGGGCATAACTTTGTTCCGGCCCATCGGCATGTAATGACACTGTCAAAGCTAATACATTGATTGATCACTTCATTATAATTAACTGGTACTCTTCTAACTAGAGATACTAAAAAAAAAGACTACAAGATAAGAAAATCCATAGAGGTACGTTTCCTTAAATTTCTCTTAGGAGAGTCACACACGGAGACACATGCATAGAGCACCGAACCATACGTCATACATCTAAGTTTGGGAAATAAACCTCTCTTAAATAGGTAAGATAGTCTACTCTTTACCTCTTTCAGACCACCTTAGTAGTTAGGATCTTGCAACCAGAGGCCATTACGGAGCTCAAGTTTCATCTCTCTCTACTAAACATGGTTGTTGATGATATCCTAAATATGCCTAAGGTTGAGCTCGGGCCTTCTAAGGTCAGACCATTCAACCTATCTCGATTGACCAAGGAACCCGAGATCGGTACCTCCTCCCCAACAGTGACACCTCCACAAGAGTAGCATCGAAAACAGTTGACTTCCACCCAAGCACCACACATAATGTAACGACCGTACATCTGGGCAAAGAAGCAACAACCACCTTAACAATGTCTATGATAATTGCATGAAATATACAACCTATCTATCCAATTCCTACATGATCCCCATTACAACTATTACAAGGAGAGGACAAAGATCACACCCAGGATCGCGAGAGTCCTCGAAGACTATAAATACAAGACATAACCCTCAACAGGGTCATAGAAGCAATTGTAGCCTAAACAAATACTCTGTGTAATCTCTCTTCTTATGAATATAAATCCTAGGAGCAAGAGATTCTCTTGAGAGTAGATTAGCTGAGCTCCCGAAATTTCCTGTGTGTTATCCCTTTTCCTGTTGTTCAAATTTCAAGAGTCTAGGAGCTCTGACTGAGTTACTCAATGATCCACTAATCTCTAATCTCTGCTCTGTAGTGCTACACACACCATCAGTTGACGCCGTCTGTGGGAACGACTGTTCCTATAAAAATTCTATTGATCACTTTTAGTAATTGATGGTTTCTATGTGCAATATGAGCAAAAGTTAGATAAATTCCCTCCGATTGCAAAACCAATAATAGGTTGCCACTAGAAGACAACAGAAAAATCTTCGTGATTTCTTGCCTAATCCAGAGGTTGACCCACCTATGGTGGATCCTCCTCCGAATAACGAGCTTAAGGCCTTTTGCCTAGCTAACCAACACCTCTTCCAGCAAAATAAAGAGTTATTAAATCTCATCTAATATCCCCAAATGGCACAACCAGCCCATAATGATCCTCCACTTGGGGAACATCAACATTTCAATCCCTTAAGGGACATTACGGAGGAGAATGAACACAACCAGATAGTTGGCAATGCCCATCATTGAATTCAAAAGAACTAGGATGAAAAGTAAGTACAAAGCCAGAACAGGGGAACTCACAGGAATGAGCCTCCCCTATTCTAGCAGGAAAAAAAAGAGCAATTCTTGGAGCAGTGTTTCAAAGTGATTCAACAAGAGCCCAGCTGCATGAAGGAGGTTGTGAGGTGCAAAACTGCAGTGACTATGGATGCACTGGTCCAGTAAACATAATCTCTCTTCACCGTAGAAGTGTTGCATTTCCCTCTTCCACCGAAATTCAGAATGCCACAAGTAGAGGCCTTTGATGGGACAAGGAATTCCATGGACCATCTCAACACCTACAAGAACCAGATAGAGTTGCATGGTTATCAAGACTTAGTGCGATGTCGAGCTTTCGCTATCACACTGAAGAGCTCAACCTTAGCCTTGTTCAATAGGCTGACCCCAACTTCTATTTCTTCATTCAGGAAACTTTCTGTTTCATTTATGTCACATTTCAAAGGAGCTCGAACTTACCAAAAGTCGAGCTGCCACTTATTGAACGTAAAGCAAGGGCCACACGAAACACTGCGAATCTACGTTCAAAGGTTCAACTTAGAATCTCTAAAAATAGACATCCCTGAAGAGAAATTTGCCCTCACTACATTCATTGTTGGGTTAGGAGTTCAATCCAAAGACTTAATGTTCTCGATCTCTAAGA